TGGCTTGCCTGGCATGCGCGGGGCACTGGGTTTGATCCTCAGCACCACATAAAAATAAAATAAAGATGTTGTGTCCACCGAAAACTAAAAAATATATATTAAAAAATTCTCTCTCTCTCAGAAAAAAAAAGCAACAAAGTAATCTCTTGTCATTCCTACATATTATTCATCATATATAATACATGTAATGTACAAAATATTTGTTAGTTGACTGTTAATATTATTAGTAAAACTTGCAGTCAATAGCAGGTTATTACTAGTTAAGTTTGGGAGGAGTCAGGAGTTACACTCAGATTTTCAGCTGTGTGAGAGTTGGTGCTCTGCTGCCCCACAAACTCCATATTGTTCAGAGGTCAACTATACTATGTTCTCTTTCTCTGTTTTTCAGATTACCTAGTTCTCATTGATCTGCCTTTAAATTCAGAGATTCTTTATTCTGCCAGTTGAAATCTGCTTCTGAGCCCTTTAGTGAATTTCATTTTATGTTATTATATAGTAGTCTCCCCTTATCTGCAGCTGGGGGTACATTCTAAGACCTTTAGTGGATTCCTGAAGCTTCAGGTAGTACCAAACCCCATGTGTCCCATTTTCCTATGTATACATACCCAAGATTAATTTATAAAGTAGGCACAGTAAGAGATTAACCATAACAGTAATAAAACAGAACAACTATAACAAATAAAAGTTATGTGAAAATGTGAAACATGGTTATCTCTTTCGCTATCTTAGTGTTTTTTTTTGGTTTTTTTTTGGCAGGGGCTGGGGGTTTGGTGTATATTCATTCTTCTTGAAAGAAGAACTTCATGGCTTCTCTTTGGCTAGCATGACTACTCTTTCACTTTTGGGTCACTTTTAAATAAAATAAGAGTTGAACACAAGTACTGTGATACTGCACCAGTGAATTTGATAACCGTTAATTGACTAATGGGTGGGTAGTATATCACTCTGGATATGCTGGATAAAAGGATGTTTCACATCTTAGACTGGACATCATGAGATCTCATCACACTTCCCAGAATGGAGAGCAGTTTGAAACTTATGAACTGTTTATTCTCCATTTTTGGACAATTGACTGATAATAAATTACAGAAAGCAAAACTGTGGATAAGGGAAGATGGCTGTATTTTTAAATTCCAGACTTTCTACTTCAAAAATAATTTCTATTTTTTCTGAATGATGAGACATTATCATCATACATACGTTTACTTTCTATTTTATTTTTATTTTTTTGTGGTACTAGGGATTGAACCCAGGAGCACTCTATCACTGAGCTACACACCCAGCCCTTAAAATTTATTTTTTTGTTTGAGACAGGGTCTCACAAAGCTGCCAAAGCTCTTAGCCTCCTGAGTAGCTAGGAATATAGGCATGTGCCTCCATGTCTGGCTGCTTTACTTTTTAAACCTTGATTTCCTTTCAATATTTGAACATGTTTAAAATAGTTACTGTGAAGTCTTTGATTAGTTTGACATTTTAGACTTCAGGTAGTTTCTTTTTTTTCTGTGTAGGATTATACTTTATTAATAACTTTAGAAAAATACCTTTATTTATTTTTATGTGGGCTGGGGATCGAACCCAGGGCCTTGCACAAGCTAGGTGAGCACCCTACCACTGAGCCACAGCCCAGCCCCTAATAACTTGTTTGTATCATAATTTTTGTTGAAAACTGAACATTTTATGTAATATTTTGTAGTAATTCTAAATGTGGCTCTCTTCCACCCCAGCTTAGGTTTTTCCTTTCTTATTTGTTTAGTCATGGTGGACTATTTCAGTGAAGTCTTGCATTATGCAGCCTGATGTCAATCCTTAAAGGGTACAACCTTGGCTAAGTAGACAGTAATTTCAGGTTTTGTTTTGCAGTGTTAGGATTTGAATCCAGGAACTTAAACACATGTTAGACACAGTAGGTGGTCTACCACTTAGCTACCTGGCCTTTCTTCACAGTTCTAGCAGGATTCTTTTTGTTCTGTGATCTCTCACCTCTCATGGTATCACACTCAACTGTTTGCCTCCACTAATTACCAGTTGATTGCTTAATTGTTTTTAACAGTGCCCTGGGAGATAAATTGTTTCACAGGTCTAGTTAAATTCTAGCCAATTTGTAGGAATAGTCTTTGAGGATAGTATTTGAACCTTGTATGTACCGCAGGAGGGTTCTTGGCTATCTTTCCCTGGTCTGATAAACTTCCAGCTGGTCTGTTATTTAGTTGTTGCTCTCATGGAGTTACCAGCTTCCTTTTACTTGCTCATCACCCAAATCTTCATCCTTTTTGATAGCACCCTTAGGTGAATCTCTTATTTCAAACAAAGTCAGGTGCCCTGGAGAGAGCTTCAGAATTCTCTGTTCCCTGCCTCCCCAGCATTGGGGAATACCTCTCTACCACTGCTCTGGAGCTAGGAATAACAGTTGCTCATTTGTCTTGGAGGGACACCCCAGCTTTGTAAGCCTGGTGCTAGACAGAGATGGAAGCCTCTGGTCTTCTTGATTTGCCTCTGCTAGATAAATAAGCAGAAGTGCGTGTTTAAGGGCCCTAGTCCACTGGCCTGGGCCAGAACTTGCACCCTGTGAGTAGAGGCCAGACACAATTATTGCTGAGATGTGCTTGTGCTTCGCTTCTTTTCTTTTGCAGCTTATTGGGGATTGAATCCAGGGGCACATTTGCTACCTACCTATTTTTTGAGACAAGATTTTACAAAGTTGCTGAGGGTCTCGTTAAATTGCTGAGATTGGTCTTGAATTTGTTATCCTCCTGCTTCAGCCTCCCAAGTTACTGGGGTTACAGGCATGTGTCATTGTGCTTGGATGTGTAGACATGAATTTTCTTGAATAAATGTCTCTTCCTATATGTCTTCAAGGACAATTTCTAGACACTTTAAGTTGTTATTTTGGGCAGTGCTATGGATTTGATCAGGGTCTCTCTCATGCTGGCTAAGGACTCTACCACTGAACTATACCCCTAGCCTTAAGTGGTTGTTCTTAAAAACATTTCATCAGTATAGTTGTTTCACTGAGGAACTGGTTGTGGAGCTCTTCACACTGAGAATATGGAATCATTTTTTTTTTCTTAGTGTTTTTTTGCCAAAAGTCACCAAGTCACCAGGAGTTAGAATAGTTTTGGAAAACAGCTTGTCTGAGTGTGACCATATTATGTCTTATTCTCTTTTACATATAAATTTGAATTTTACAGAGCTTACTAGTTCCATGTGAGTGTGCATTATAGTTTTAAGTCCAGGTTAATAGATGTGAAACTAAGTTTTTCTTAAAGAATATTTAGGCATAAAATGCATCTTTGATAATTTGTATTCTCTTTTTTTTTTTTTTTGGCACATGAACTTTGTTATATCATTTGAAATTACAAACTTCTGTTTTCTAACCATGAAGTTTCTGTTTTGTAAAACAAAAACTATTGAAAATAGGAAAACTTTGAGACCTTCAGAAAAAAATTGTGCCACTGGGTCTTAAAATCTACCCATGAACATCCCTTAAATAAATTCTTGGAACATTAAATAAAGAGAAGGTACATCTTTTGTAACAGTAGGTGGTCTTTAATTTCTGCTTATTGTTTCCTTGCTCCCTATGACATTTTTATGAGCTTCCTCCCACTTTTTTCATATATTTTTATTTGTTCTTTTTAGTTATATATATAACAGTAGAATGTATTTTGACATACATATATGGAGTATAATTTTCCATTCTTGTGATTGTACATGATGTGGAATTACACTGGTTGTGTATTCATATATGAACAAGAAAGTTATGTCTGATTCATTCTACTGTCTTTCCCATTCCCATCCCCCTCCTTTCCCCCAACTCCTCCCTGTCCAATCTGGTAAACTCCTCTTCCCCCCCACCCCTATTGTGAGTCAGCATCTGCATATCAGAACATTTGGCTTTTGCGTTTTGGGGATGAGCTTATTGCACTTGGCATGATAGTTTCTAGTTGTATCCATTTACTGACAAATGCCATAATTCCATTCTTCTTTATGGCTGAGTAATATTCCATTGTTTTTATGTACTGCATTTTCTTTATCCATTCATCTGTTGAAAGGCTTAGGTAGGTTCCATAATTTAACTATTGTGAATTGAGCTTTATGAGCTCTTTCTACCTCTGTTGATATGTGCTCTTATTTTGTTGTGTACTGTAGATAAGATGGGCACTGAGGAAATCTTGTTCTGTATTTTGTTCAGTGCTTTTTATGATTAAATTAATCCTGCCTCCATTCTGTGTTCCCAGAAATGTAATGGTTGAATGTAAAAATCAATAATTTTATTGATTCTGCCTGTTTGATAGATGAAGGGGTTTTCACCAACTCTTCATGTAGCCCAAACTTTGTCCCTCAGTCCCTTTGACATCTGTCCTACTTGTTTTCAAATCCTGACAGATGTTAGGTTTTTGTTCTATACTTGTCTCAACTTTTTGTGTTTTTCTGAAGCTGTATTACAATAGATATTTCTGATCACCATTTCACTTTGACTTCACGTTTGTATTCCCAGTTCTCAGTTTCTGCTTTTTTCAAATTATCTTCAACAGGTGTGACTTGGCAGTTCATGTATTTTAGAAGTATTCAGAAGTAACTATGAAGGACTGGAGATGATCCAGGCAAGGTGGCATACAATTGTAATACCAGTGACTATGGAGGCTGAGGCTGGAGGATTGTAAAGTTCAAGGCCAGCCTCAGCAATTTAGTGAGACCCTGTCTCAAAATAAACAATAAAAAGGGCTGGGGATGTAGCTCAGTGGTGAAGTGTTTTTCTAGTGTGTTCAAGGTCCTAGGTTTAATCTCCAGCACTACAACAAAAGTAACTAAATATTAGACTTTGGTATGAAGAAGATTATAATATTTTAATGGAAGTGTGGCATCATATTTTCTGATTTTGAGTAATAAATGCTTTTGCTAAGGAAAACTAATATAAAAGTTAAAGTCTCCCTGTAATTCCACTTGCAGATAGTAAATACACTGTCAAGGTAACCTGACATTTTGTAAACTCTTTATTGTAGCTCCTGCAGGAGCCTGTGGTGTTGTACTGGCACCACCCGCAGGAACCGCTACAAATTCTAGGGCTGTCCTCTTCACTGTGGGGTCTCCTCCACACAGCGCCACAGGCCCCACTTGTACCCATATGGTCCTACGAACAAGAACCACCTCAGGTGAGAAATGTTTGTCCTATTCAATCTGTGGCAAGTATTTGGAGTGTGGTATTCTGAGGGTAATGTAGTGTTACAACTTAAACAAGTCACTGAATTTCTTTGGTCTTCAGTTTCTTTGCCAGTGAACAAGGGTTATAAGTACTAAATGAGGCAGCATTTTGGATGGGGGGACTTCGTAAAGTAAAAGTGCTACATTATATATATATAAATCTAGAAATATCCATTATGCTTGTATGTTCATATGTAATATATATAATATAAAATATAAATAATTGATCCATGAAGAAGCAGCTGTCTAACCAAAGTGATTCTCAACTTATATTTTGAAATCTTATTTTAGTATATTGTTTATTTAGTTTTCTAGAAGCTTAAGTTTTATTTTTGAACTTTGGGTTCCACTGTTTCTTTTCTATTTGAAAAACCTTAATATTATATTTTCAAAATAATGTTGCTACACTCATCCATAGCAACCATGTTCATAGGAAGTGACACATTATGTTTAGATAGGCTAATATATTTTTATTATTATCCATATTCTATAAGTAGTTTATTAATAGAGAAATTAAGAAAGTATTTAGATTGGACTCAAAGTATATAATACCATCATATATATTGTGCTTTGTGTTATTTAAGTTCTCTTATTCTAAATAAGTTGCTAATCAGGATATTAGTATCAACAAAAAAAGATAGGTAGAATTAAAATCTTAGTTTTATAAATATTTATAATTTTATACGATAAGTAAGAAAATGCCATTTTAAAACAGTAACATTTTATATCTGTTAATTGTAGTGACATTTTTAAAAACTTAATACCCAGTCTTGTCAAGCTTTAGTGGGATATATGTGCTTACAGCTGCTATAGAAAATAATGTGGCAATTCTTAGGAAAAGCTGTAAAAATGTTTATAATATTCATCTGTGGTAATTCCTTTCTTGTTTATAATACCACTATTGAGTATTTATCACATAGAAGTCATTTGAAAGAAGGAAAAACTTGGTTAATTTCATTGCAGTGATATTTGTAACATGAAAAAAAAAATCAAATAGTATAAATGACTCCAGATAAACTTCACATATATAAAGATTATAAATTACTATATATCTATTGAATCTTATAATTATGAAACTGATGGAGCAACCAGGAAAAATGTTTATGGTACAAATTTTTTAGAGTAGAATATAAGAAAACTAGCTCTGATATCTATAAAATATACACATAGACAAGGATTGTAAGTGAACATGGAAAACTAAAAACTATTCATATGGTAAAGTTGGGTGGGGATAAGGGACTTTTGTTTGAACTTTATTACTCAGTAGGTTTTGTTCAGTAAATAAGAGGAGCAGTGGGTGTAAAAGCCCCTCTGTGACCTAACTCAGGACGCTGTGCTGTGTTTTATGTTTCCTTGCAGTGGGGTCCAGCAGCTCAGGAGGCTCTCTGTGCTCTGCAAGTGGCCGTGTGTGTGTGGGCTCCCCACCTGGCCCGGGCTTGGGCTCTTCCCCACCGGGAGCAGAGGTAGCTCCCAGCCTGAGATATGTGCCTTATGGTGCTTCACCCCCCAGCCTAGAGGGGCTTATCACTTTTGAAGCCCCCGAACTGCCAGAGGAGACACTGATGGAGGTAGAGAAAAGACTACAGTGGTGTGATAATATAATGTTGATATGATGTGAGTGTTCTAGTGGTGACAAAAGGATAAAATAAATTGAGCAGTTCTGAAATTATGCTCCTCCCCCCTGCCCCCATACTGGGAACATGAACCCAGGGGCATTCTATTGTTGAGCTACATCCCCAGCTCTTTTTTAAATTTTTTATTTTGAGACAGGGTCTTGTTAAGTTTCGGAGGCTGCCCTTGAACTTCCTGCCTTAGCCTCCCAAGCTGCTGAGTTTACAGACATCCAGAGGCACTCAATCACTGAGCCATGTCCCTAGCCTTTTTTTATATTTTATTTAGAGACAGGGCCTCACTAAGTTGCTGAGGCTGCTTTGAACTCATAATCCTCCTGCCTCAGCCTCCCAAGCTGTTGGGATTACAGGAGTGCACCACCATGTCTGGCTTCTTTCTTTTCTATTTGAAAAACATTAATATTATATTTTCAAAATAATGTTGCTACACTCATCCATAGCAACCATGTTCATAGGAAGTGACACATTATGTGTTCTCAATTTTTTATCCAAAGTTTATTTACTATTTATAATATTTTAAAGCATAATCTGTGTCCTAAAAAGTAAGCTTTTATTCTCAAAGTTTTCTTTGATAAAAATAAATAGGCATAATTGATTTATTATTTTAAATTTTAAAAATAAAACATCATTTATTTATTTGGCACTGGGGATTGAACCCAGGGGCACTTAACCCCTGAGCCACATTCCCAGCCCTTCTTTGTATTTTTTTTAAGTTTAGAGACAGGGTCTCACTGAGTTGCTTAGGACATTGATAAGTTGTAGAGGCTGGCTTTGAACTCTCCATCCTCCTGCCACAGCCTCCTGAGTCTGGGATTACAGGCGCCCAGCTAATTTAAAATTTTTAACAATAATAGTAAACCAGTAATGACATATTTTGTTCATTAATAAAGTAATATACCTACCAAATGGACTGGATGCTCATATTTATAGATTAGTACCTTTTCTCTGTGGGTCCACTTCTCCAGAAAAGAAACATATTGTATATAACTTGAAATATGTGAGCATAAATCCAGAACCAGAGTATGTTTTATGATTTCAGAGCTGTGTATGCTTAGTTCCTCAATCCTGACTCAAGGAAAACACTCTGTAGGATGATGTGTCTGTCCTCAGTCCCTGAATGCCTGAGGTCTTAATTTAGCCTGAGGTTTAAATTAAAATGATCAACTTTCTGGGCCAACTAAAGAGCAAATTTTTTCTCCATTTAGGATCTCTAATATTTCTATTTTGTATGAATAAGAATTAACTTTTCACATAAAAATTACAAAATATTGCATGCAAATTTTTAGTAGAGATTTTGTGGTAGTAATTTTGAGGATGTATCTAGTCCAATCTAAAGTTGGAAAAAATAAACCTGAGTATTTTTTTTAGTCTACATCTAATTAGACATAAATTACATTCCAGTACATGTTTGAACATGTTGGAGCATATAGTTGACAATATGTTGTCACAGAGCAGAGAGACTCAAAAATTGAATGGTTTATTCTCCTGTATCTAAGAAAACTATTATCTTCTTTTAGTCATAAAAGGAGAATAAGTTATTCAATTAACTTTTAGGCCATGCTTTAGATTTCAAAATACATTTACAACTAAACAAAAATCTCAAAGCAAAAATTGAGTACGTATTTTAAAATTACAGCATCCCTCAGATTGCTGTTCTGTCTTCCTATGCTCCTCTCTTTAACTAACTGAAAAGAACACAGAAAATTAGAGCTTTGGTATTAGGAATCTACTATTGACTGAAAAATCAATAGAAACTAAAATAACAATAACAACTCACTGAACTATGAAGAATTGTGATTTAAGAGCTAGGCATACTAGCACATACCTGTAATGCCAACTACTTAGGAGGATTCCTTGAGCCCAGGAGATAAGAGACGACCTGGGCAACATAGCAGGGATCCCATCTCAAAAAATTTTAAAAAGTGATTTTAGTGTGCAGAGTATCCTTGCATTTAATTTTTTTTTTTGGTACCAGAAATTGAACTCAGGGCCTTACATAGACTAGGCAGGTATTTTCCTACTGAGCACTGATGAGATTGTATCCTCAGCCCATTTTTAAAAATTCTGTTTTGAGACAGGGTTTCATAAGTTGCCCAAGCTGGCCTCGAACTTCTGAACCTTTTGTCTCACCCTCCCAAGTAGCTGTCCTTGCAGTCTTGATATCTGTTTTGTCTTGAATATACTGATTTTATCTTTTTTTTTTTTTTAATTCTTTTGTTTTAATTCTGGTAAAAGCACAGTGTCTTGCTCTTTTTGGAGCTAACTTATGTGAGTGCTCTAAAACATACATAAACACTTGCACAAACCCACATTGGTTTCATTTTTGTTTTCTTACCAGCTTTTTGAAATTTAAAAATGTCAATTTCCTTTGATCATTCTGACATTCATAAGTATGGAAAAACACTATGTATAGAAAAAATACAGTCAAACTTTCTTTTTTTTCCTGTACTGGGGATTGAACTCAGGGCCTAAGCAAGCACTCTACCAGTGAATTGCATAACTTTATCTCCAGTCCTTTTGTTTGTTTGTTTCTGAGTTATCCAAGCTGGCCTCAAACTTGTCTTCTTGCTTCAGCCTCTCAAGTAGATGGAATTGCAGGTGTGTGCCCCCATACCCAGCTATATACAGAAATTCTTTATCTAGAGTGTTCTAAGACAGTGTCTTTGCTGCAGCGAGAACACACAGATACCTTACGCCATCTGAATGTGATGCTGATGTTCACGGAGTGTGTGCTGGACCTAACAGCTGTGAGGGGGGGGAACCCTGAGCTGTGCACATCTGCTGTGTCCTTGTACCAGATTCAAGAGAGTGTGGTTGTGGACCAGATCAGCCAGTTGAGCAAAGACTGGGGGTACGTGCCACCGCCTGTCATTTCATTGCTATATTCATGCTTTCTGTAACTTTGTGCCTGAGCTGCTGGCATTGTCAGCTACTGAAGGTCAAATATTATTAAAATCTTCAAAGGAATCTCTAAGTTACTTTATTGTGTAAGATGTCACTGTATGAGCTAAGAGAATTTTATAATTTAAGCCTTGCCTTTATTGGGAGATGGTGTGGATTTTTATCTGAGCATTTCTATTATAGTCAAAGTTCACACATCTGTCTTCATGTCAAATCTTCTCCCTTCAGGGGTTATATTTGCGTTAAAAAACCTAGGAGGAGGATATGCTTATAGAAAGGATATTTGAATGGTGGCCTGATATTGGAGCCCCAAGTCTGGTGGGTTGGTTCTCAAGGTAACTCTCTATTCCTGTCTTCCTGGTACAGGCGGGTAGAACAGCTGGTGTTATACATGAAAGCAGCACAGCTGCTTGCAGCTTCCCTGCATCTTGCCAAAGCTCAGATCAAGTCTGGGAAGCTGAGCCCATCCTCGGCCGTGAAACAAGGTATGGCAGCTGTGGCTTTAGGAGTTCTGGAGTTCGTCCCTTCCTGTCCAATGGAGAGAGAGGCACTGTGCTATTCAGTATCCTAATAGGGAAAACTATGCTGATGTTTTGTTTTTCACCATGTGTTTGATACAGAAAGGTTGTAAGGACTTTATTTTGTCATTTCATACTGAAATAGAGATCATAGAACCGGATTTCCAATCCTTCCTTTCAGTGATCATATAATTTTACTTTCCTTAAATCAGCACAAAAGGTGTGTGTCACTGTGTCATCATTTCTAAAGGAAAATTAAAATTAGTTCTCATCTCAACTTTTTTTCCAGTTGTCAAAAATCTGAATGAGCGATATAAATTCTGCATCACCATGTGCAAAAAAATCACAGAAAAGCTGACTCGCTTCTTCTCTGACAAACAGAGATTTATTGATGAAATCAACAGTGTAACTGCAGAGAAACTCATCTATAATTGTGCTGTGGAAATGGTAACCTTTTTTAAGGTTTAATATTGTATAGCACGGCAGTACTTTAAGAGTATCTTTTGAATCCAGAGTATTATAATTATTATTGTGATAACATCCTACAAAAGGAGGAATTGAAGTTCTCTAACATTTTTTTTTTTTAGTGGAGGGAGGGTATTGGGGATTGAGGGTATCAGGCACTCAACTACTAAACTACATCCTCAGCCCTATTTTGTATTTTATTTAGAGACAGGGTCTTACTGAGTTGCTTAGTGCCTCTCCATTGCTGAGGCTGGCTTTGAACTTGTGATCTTCCTGCTTCAGCCTCTCAAGGTGCTGAGATTACAAGCATTGCCACCATGCCCAGCCTTACCAACATTGAAGTAACATTTAATATAATATATTTAATGAACTTCCTTAAGTCTGGCTACCACTTTTGATAAAATTCTTTTTTCTCTTTTTATTTTTGTGGTATGGTGATTAAACCCAGGGCCTTGTGCATGCTAGGCAAGTGCTCTATCACTGCATCACCAGCCCAGAATTTTTTTATATCTCCTGCTAAACTTTGCTAAGATTAGGCATGGTGTCATCTTTTAGTAGTTTGCATTTAAAAGCATTAACTGGACCTGTTTCTACATTTTCTATTATTTAAGAAATTTTAGCTTAGTAAAACTGTTAGAAAATATACTGCTTTGTTAACCAGTATAAAAATTCATGGGCACAGATTCCACTTAACTGACCTTATTAAAGTACAAGCATCAAGTAAAATCTACTTTTCTAATTGTCTGGTTATAATATCAAAAATAATTTGTTTTCTTTCTCTACTGGGGAAAAATTGCTCTGAAGCATAGATAAAAATAGAAGCTATTAAATAAGTGATTAAGTGGGGAAAGTTTATTTTTGACTAATCTTTTTTTTTTTTAACCATAGTAATGTAATTGATTTTACCTATTTGTGTACTTTGAATTGTACTATTACTATACTCTTAGTCTTATTTCAAAAGCGATTAAAATGAATAGTCACATGAAAATAACAAGAATATAAAATGACAGGAATAATATACATTTTATTGTTCTAAACTGTTGATAGGAATAATATGCATTGTATTACTCTACACTGAATTAAGAGTTCATAAGGCCAATGAAGAGAGTGTTTCTGATGAGGATGCGTTCTGTTATTCAGTATTCTTAACAGGGAAAAAGATCCCAGCTAATGAGGAGATCTCAAGTTCGGGGCCAGCCTGGGCAACTTAGTGAGATTCTATCTCCAAATTAAAAATAAAAAGGTCCAGAGATGTAACTCAGTGGTAAAGTGCCCCAGGGTTCAATCCCCAGCAACCCCCCTCCCCCTAAAAAAAGACTTTTTAAGAATTTTGTGCCCAGAAAAATGTCCTCTCATAAGGAATTATAATGCTTCTTTCCTTTCTGATAATAACAGCCCTGTAACTTCAGTAGGTTCTTCTTTTTGCCCTAGTTGCTTAGGAAGCTTAGAGGTATCAACAGTTAAATTTTAGTTATATTTTTCTCTTTCGTTTTCATTGCTTTGATTTTCTTTATCTATTTTATTTGGTTGACTATAAATGTCTTTAAATTATTTTTTGAAAGAGCATATTAACAATTAGAATACTAGATTACTGAGAGTTCTGGCATTTAATGATCAAAGAAAACATAAGGACGCTGTTGGGAAAACCCGTATGAATAACACTACCATTCTCTCTTTCTGCAAAGACCTCTTCCCACCTTTCCCATTACTCAGCTCATTCTTGCTCCTCTTTATGATTCAGCCTAAACATTATCTTCTGGAGGCTTCCCCTAATATCCTCTTGCAGGGTTAGGTGGACTTCCTGTGTATTCTATACCATCCTGATGCTTTCTCCTGAAATAAGACTTGTCCCTTAAAATTAGAAATGCATATTTTGGCCCGGCATGGTGGCGCACGCTTGTAATCCCAGCAACTCAGGCTGAGGCAGGAGGATCTTGAGTTCAAAGCCAGCGTCAGCAATGGAGAGGCCCTAAGCAACTCAGGAGACCCTATCTCTAAATAAAATACAAAAAAGGGCTGGGGATGTAGCTTGATGGTCAAGTGCCCCTGGGTTCAATGCCTGGTACCAAAGAAAGGAAGAAATGCATGTTTTGCAGACTTATGTCTTCCTTTAGACTGTGAGCACTCCTTTATTTATATGCTGAGTGCCTGGCATTAGTAGGTGCTCAGTAATTATCTATGAATGAATAACTACACATACCTGAAAATTCTTTTGACTAGAAAAAGAAGCCAACAAATGACTTTTAACATCATTTCATCATATTACTGTAACAATCTTTTAATGAAGTTTACTTTAAGTAGCTCATCCTGATGAATCTAAGTTCTGTATAGTTTAGTAGGCTATAGCATTTCATCAAAATGTGTTAATTTTAGGTAGATGCTATTTAAAAGCTGCATTGCTAAGATGAATTTGTATTTTCTTGGAAAATTTGAGAATTTTTTGTTGACTGGTTCCAGGTTCAGTCTGCAGCCCTGGATGAGATGTTTCAGCAGACTGAAGATATTGTTTATCGTTACCATAAGGCAGCCCTTCTCTTGGAAGGCCTAACTAAGATTCTACAAGACCCTGCAGATATTGAAAATGTACATAAATGTAAGCTGACCTACACAGTAGTCTTCCAGTATCTACAGTTTTGCTTCCCACATTTTCAGTACCCAAGGTCAACCAAGGTGTAAAAATATTAAATGGAAAACTCAGAAACAAACAATCCATAGTGTGATAAATTGCTCCTTCCCTTTGTCCAGCCTATCCATGCTATTAGATATGCCACCCACCTTTTAGTCACTTAGCAGCTCTCTTGGTTATCAGATCTCTTGTCTTAGTATTGCAGTGCTATTAGATAGTTTGATACTCTTGATGCTTTCAGGCATTCATTGGGGGTCTTGGAATATATCCGTTGGGGATAAGGAAAGACCATTATATTTATTGATGGCAATTTAGTTGTCTCTTGCAGTATATAATAAAAACAGCTTAGGGGGGCTGGGGTTGTGGCTCAGTGGTAGAGTGCTTGCCTAGCACACATGAGGCACTGGGTTCAAACCTCAGCACCACATAAAAATGAAATAAAGATATTGTGTTTACCTACAACTAAAAAATATTAAAACAAAAGAGCTTAGGGTTTATAAACATACTGCCTGGGTTGAATCTTGGATTTCCAAACTTGAGTAAACCATTTAACCTTTCTATTGTGTTATTTTCTTATACTATATGATGCGGATAGCATTGCCTACCTTGCAGAGTTTTGAGGATTGGAGATTATGCGTGTAAATTACAGATGGTTTTTAGATTTCTACTCTGCATTCCTTTTTAGCAAGTGTGTGCTCATGTATGTAGGAGAATGTTGTTTTTATTGTTGAACATAACTCTCTTAAGCATCCTGGGCTTAGTGACTGAAGAATCCTATAAAGAGCCTATGTACTGCAGATTGATACTGTATAGAATATGTAATGGAGAATGATACTGTACTGGATATGTACTAGAGATGGATAGGATTCCAGGGGATATTACTACTTATCAGATATAAGACCAGCAATCTGATTTTCGAGGAGAAGGTGATGTTAAAATCCAAATGTTCTCTATGCGATGTGCTTCTCTGAATTTTACCGCTAAGTTAAAAATCATATATCTAAACTATTACCAGATAGAAGAAAATATATTCTATTACCTTCAGGGAAAAGATTGAAAAGAGACAATGATTCCAATAGAGTTAGTGATTTTTTTCCCCTTAGTTGTTCTTTCCTTGGTTTTGAAAATATAAGTACTTTTAATTCTGATTTTTAAAAAAATTATTTCTAGATAAATCTAGTATTGAAAGAAGATTGTCAGCACTCTGCTGTAGCACTGCGACTGTGTGAGAAGCAGGCATGTCCATGGACCGGCGTGGGAGCATGAGGTGATACATTTGAGATTACAGCTTGGTTCTGTCACCCATCCCCAGGAAACTAGTTTAACTGGTGACTACCAAAGAACAAGCAGCAATTTCAAAAAGGAAAAACAATCCAAAAACTACATGTCTGTAGAAAATCTGCCTTACTGGAGAAGATACTCCCTTTTCCCTTTTTCTTTGTAGAAGCAGAAGCAGGAGTATTCCAGTTTGCTCCCTGTTTGAACTTGGTAAATAAACATACCTTAGAACTAGAATTATCATTTATTATTATGGATAATTAAACATGAAATAAGGCAAGTGGCACTTCACTCAGTTCATAGAGCAATGTATGAAATGCCATGTGTTTGCTGAGGTGTACACAAGCAAGAATATACATCTCGTCAGACAGTTTGATGTTTGGGGTGAGTTTGTCTGAACCTGAGCATGCATCTTTCAACAGCTCAGGAAGAAATAGTTTAAGAAGAATCAAAAGATGGCTCTTGGAAGAAATTTTGAAATCTTCAATTTGATCTAGTATGGACATACGTTAATTCTTCCAAAATCTTTCATATTGCACTAATTTATTAAAACAACTGTGTATTGGATTTTGCAATTTAAAACTAACTGAGGCACAATGGACTTGTTTAAAGTATTTTACTTGATTATATATATATACCCTTTCTAGAATTCACATGTAATCTCTATTGAACTTTTAAATGATCAAAACTTGTGTTCATGTGAATCTTTGCATTTTTTATTTGTTTATTTACACCTACAGATCTTCTTAGTAATATTTTGAGTTGCTGATGTTTACTTTGTTTGCATTTTTCCTTGTGCATGCAAAATGTGCATTGATGCCTGTGACTTTAGGTTTATTAAAGAATAGGTTTATTTGGACAGTATTAGAAAAACTATCATGAATCAAGAGATACTCTTGAGAATTTTCATAGGGCCAAAACAAAGTTGGTGATCAAAGGCTTGTTAGTGATGTGGAGTTTCTACATGAAGTTAGTGAAAAATTAGGTTTGTTTTCTCTTAGGAAAATGGCAGCTCTCTCCAGCCTAACGTGTATTTTTAATGTTAATCCTGACAGTTCACCAAATAGCTTGTAATGGAAAAGCAGGCAGTTAACATCCTTTTAGGAATGTTTCATATGTTGTATATTATTTGGTTTCTTTTACTTACCTGCTTGAATACTTGAAATAAACCATTCACCAGTTTTAATCCTATTATTTTAAGCCTTTTACATAAAATATTTTGAACTGACAGTGTGCAGAAGCTCTTCGGCATTACTCTAATTTTAATGTACTGATAAAAACAAACAAACATGGATTTCCTTTACTTTGACAAAGTAATGTAATTTCTACTTTATTTATCTGTATGAAATTCCAGCAGTTAATTTGAACATTTATTTATATGATGTTTGTATTTTTAGGTCTTTAATACAGTGTCTTTCTACCTCTCATTTGTAACTGCATGCGATATTCTTGAAACTAGTTAAAACTCACTGAATTGTTGTGTAATAGCCTTTTTATTATTACCTATACAAATGTATATTAAGGTAAAATAAAACTGACAGTGTTTCTAGGTTACAGTTGGGTCCATATTAAATGGCTTGTCAAGGCAGATACTTCCTTAGTCTGGGGACTTGGTCATTAAGGTCCTTTGCCACATCCCAGGATTTCCCAGGATTTAAGATTCTTGGTGACTGTCATTCAGGCTTCCGTAAACTGATGATCACTTCCCCTTCTTGCTTAGTGATACTCTATTTTTGTATAATTTTTAGAGTTTACACTTTCCTCCATGTTCTCCCCTGTATTATCTCAGTTGATCCTCTGTGTGGGTGGGTAGGGTTATTCTGCCCCCTCTCTAACTTTTTTTAAACACATGATGAAACAGGTTCAAAGAGGGTAAGTGATTAGTCTGAAGTCAGGAACTAGGAAAGTGGTCAAGCCATGCTTTGTAACTTCCAAGTTCTTTGTTCTTCCTCTTTTGTAGTCAAGGTCTTGTTATTGTTAGTGTGTATGAAACAGTGAAGTCTCAACAGCAGAGAACAAACTGTAAATTTATGAGTAATGGTTCTGATTATATTTCCATTATCAAGGCTGATTGTTTTAAGAGATTTTTGCCTTGATTATAGCAATAATAATAAACAAGTGCTTTATGTTTCCATGAGTATTTTTTAATTTCTTTTTTTGTTGGGGGAGGGTACTGGGAATTGCACTGGCAGGGGTACTCACATTGAGCTCTATCTCCTGCCCTTTTTAAATTTTGAGACAGGGTCTTGCTGAGTTGCTCAGGCTGCCCTCAAACTTATGATCCTTCTGCCTTAGCCTCCTGAGTAGCTGGGATTACAGGTGTGTACCTAGTGTATTTTTAAATTTCATATCACCTATTTCTTTTTTTTAATTTATTTTTTTAAAAAATAAATGACAGAGTGCATTACAATTCTTATTACATGTACACAGTACAATTTTTCATATCTCTGTATATAAAGTATGTTCACACCAATTCATGTCTTCATACATGACCTTTGGATAATGATGTCCATCACATTCTACCATTATTGCTAACCCCCTGCCCCCTTCCTCCCTCCCCCTCTGCCCTATCTAAAGTTTGTCTATTCCTCCCATGCTCCCCCTCCCTACCCCACCTATTTCATGAAGTAGAAAAAATGGCAACATTCAAACTGGTCACAGTGATGCACAATTCTAATCCTGGAGACTTGGGAAGTTGAAGCAGGAGAATCACAAGTTTGAGACCAGCCTCAGCAATTTAGTAAGACCTTGCCTTAAAAAAGAAAAGAAAGAAATGACCAGGGGTATAGCTCACTGGTAGAGCACCTCTGGGTTAATACTTGGAAAATTGTGGACCATTACAAATGTAAATAGAGGAATTAATCATGAATTTGCTAGTTAGCTATTCCTACTCTTAAGATTTATTTTAACTGTCTCCTATACTGACTGGTCTTGGAGGTATGTTCTTGATATAGTTATTTCCCACATCCCTGTGTTCCCTTCCTTCCACTGAGAGGAATAACCAGACCAGGAGGGGGCTATTGTTAAGGCATAGTGCCAGCAAGGGTCATAAGGAGAAAGTTGAATACTATACAGTGGACATGTGGACATGGGAGTTGTGCTTCCAAACCAATATATCTGACATGTCTGGGTTCCTGTTTCGGTGCAGCACTCTTGAGACTGTTTCATTTCAGGAAGGATGGCATTTCTCCCTCCGGCTCACCTTTGTGCTGGCATTTGCAGTAGCTTCTCTTGTGGTCTGAGAATATTATGTTTAAAAATGGCAACATTCAGGACTGGGGTTGTAGCTCAGTGGTAGAGGGCTCGCTGAGCATGTGGGATGCATTGGGTTGGATCCTCAGCACCACATAAAAAAATAAAGATATTGTGTCTAACTACAACCAAAAAAAATGTTTTAAAAATGGCAACATTCAAACTGGTTACAGTGATGCACAACTTTAATCCTGGAGTCATGGGAATTTGAAGCAGGAGAATCACAAATTTGAGGCCATCCTCAGCAACTTAATAAGACCTTGTCTCAGAAAAAAAAAAAATGACTGGGGGTGTAGCTCACTGGTAGAGCACCTCTGGGTTAAACCCCAGTGACAGCACTCCTGCTGCTGTATACATGGTGGCAACACCCAGTTTTGAGTTTTGTCCATTTTAGTTGAGAGAAATAATATTCAATGAAGGCTGATGACTTATTTCCTATGATCCAGTGCTTCCTGGTTCCCACAAAAGGAGCTTTTCTGTCCTCACTAGAGTCAAACCTAGCAGCTCAGGAGGAGCTAATGTTAGGGTCAGGCTGCCTCACTGTCCAAGGATAAAGAGAAAGTTGAATTGGACGTTCTGGGCATGAAGGCATGGGCTCACATTATTTAAAAATCCTTGAGGTGCTGTGTAGTGTGATTGGAGCACAGGCTGTGGTGGAAAGCTTCACACTTCTAGTCACACTTGTAGTGTCTGTAAGCAATTTTAAGTGTTGTTTTTTTTTTTTTTCTGGAATAAAGAAAGGTCAATTGGTGTTTCCCTAGAAAAGATTACTTCACAGGGAGCAGCTACTGCTCAGAGAACTTGATCTTGTCACACCTGATACCTGCATCTTTGAAGCATCTGCATCCACTTCTAGATGGCTTTAGACCATTTACTTCTGGACCCTTGAAGCTGTGTAGTCCTATGACTACATAAGGACCTTCCCAGGTCACTTTCTTGTTTATCAAAGCCCTTGAGATACTGTCCTTGAGGGGAGACCCAGTCAAGATGATATTTTCCTTATCTGAATTGGGAAACTATCAGAAATGATCCCTCTATAAAAGCATTGTATACAGGAAAACTTTGCTAAAAAAAAAAAGAAGAAAAGAATATCACAGCATTTGTGCTAGAGGTGAAGGCAAACTTATAAGGTGGATTCACCAATCAGAACAAACAGCAGAGGCTGAGCTCTTGCTGCCATTATGATCTTGTGCAGTCTACAGCAGAGGCCCTGTAGGAGCCGTGACTGGAGTAAGGATCAGCCCAGGGAGCCCTGGCCCTGTTGTCCTGAGTGTGCTCTGCAAGGGCATTACCTGAAGGATCTTGTTTTTTGTAGAAGCCCTCTTAGCCCCATTTTCATATGCTATAAAGATCTTCATTATTTGATATATCCTTTCTTGACAGCTCTCCTAGTGCCTCCCAAAGTGGATCTGGAGTAATGGAGACTGTTAGCTTTCTGTTGCTCTAAAATACCTGACAAGAACAACTTGGAGGGAAAAGTTTATTTTCGGCTTATGGTTTCAAAGGTTTAGGCCATGGTCAGCTGGCTCCATTGCTCTGGTCTGAAGGTGAGTCAGAGCATCATGGCAGAAGGGCATGGTGGAGGAAAGCTGCTTATCTCATGGCAGCTGGGAAGCAGAGTGTGTGAGGAGCCAGGAACAAAACGTATACTCCAAAGGCATACCCCCAGTAACCTAACTTCCTCTAGCCAGGCCCTGCCTGCCTACAGTTACCACCATTTGTCCAAATTATCAATTCATCAAATAGATTAATCCACTGATTAGGTTCAAGCTCTCATTATCTGATCATTTTACTTCTTGCATTAACACAGGAGCTTTTGGGGACATTTTGTATCCAAACTACAACAGGGCTTTTAAGCCCTGGGCCAGGTGGGCCACGGGCTTGGAAGGGCAGACCTGTCCAGGGTGATGCTGCTGCACGCAGCATGCCTGCCTCTCTGAGACAGTTCTGCTCTTGCACCGTTAACTTATACCTTTAGGAGATGCCAGCTTGAACATTTGCCTATTGAAAACTACATTCTACAACTTTAGGATTTCTTATTTCTTTCTCTCTCTCTCTCTCTCTCTTTTTTTTTCCTTTGGTACTAGGGATTGAATGTAGGGTCTCACTAGGCAAGTGCCGTATCGCTGAGCTACACCTGTGTGCCACTTTATGGCCCACACAGCTGACTGGGGGAAGGCCAATTCCAGACCTTTTCCTTCCACCTCTCCTTGCACATACAAAATCCTCCCAGCTAAGCAGGCTGAGAAGAGAAAGTGACAGAAAGCAGGAGGTGGCTGTGACAGAGTGGACCTGGTGGCTCGATTATGATGTCAGCCTCCTCCTCCTGTGAGCCAAGGGAGGCAGGGACTGAAGGACTGAACCCTATGCTCCTTTATTTTGAGACAGGGTCATGCTTAGTTGCCCAGACTGGCCTCAAACTTAAAATTTTCCCGCTTCAACCTCCTGAGTAGCTGGGATTACAGGTGTACAGCACCACATCTGCCTCCTTTGGGGTTTCTGTGACTCAATTTGACAACTTAGCTTAAGGGGTCCATTTGGTCTTTAGCTCTGCCCTGTTCAGCTGTGTGTCCTTGGGCAATTTTTTTAAACCCCTCACATCTGTCAAGTTGAGGAATTTAAATCTTGAAGAGTTCCAATCTTGAAGAGCTGGTTGGTAAATTGAATAAGTTGATGAACATAGTTATTTGAACAACACCTGGCACAAGTAAGAACCTAGTAATGGCTGCTACTGAAGTAATTGTCATCCTTTTGCTCATGTTTTCAATTTGTTTCAGGAACAGGTGAAAAATAATTTGCTTTGCATTTGTTTGTGGTATGTCCTGGACTTTGTGCTCTACCCGGAGCCGCTCAAACGATTAGTTCTTGCAGGAAAGTCACCTTTAAGCTGTTTACCCATCCACCACCCCAGTTTCAGGCGTTCTCTGAGTTACTTTCTTTAGGTCAATTTGGTTTTGGTTTGTGGTACTAGAGATTGAGCCAGGGGTGCTCTACCACTGAGCTACATCCCCAGCTCTTTTCTATTTAAGAAATTTTTTTTAGTTGTAGATGGACAAAGTACCTTTATTTTATTTCTTTATTTTTATGTGGTACTGAGGATTGAACCTGTTGCCTCATGCATGCTAGGCAAGCACTCTACCACTGAGCCACAATCCCAGCCCAGCTCTTTTCTATTTTAAAATAGGATCTCATGAAGTTGCCAAGGCTGGCCTTGAAGTTGAGATCCTCCTGACTCAACCTACCAAGTAGCTGGATTGCAGGTGTGCACAAATGCACCCGGCTTTGGGGCTGTTTTAGTGACATGCTTGTATCAGTCTAACATTCATTACTTCATTGGATCCTTACACCAGCCCTTGTTCATTTTACAGATAGAAAAAGCAGACATGAAGAATCATTTCCCCAAGAGAAAAGCCACACAGATGGACAGTGGTGGGAGCAGCCACTGTTGGGGTTTGGACCCTCAGGGGCTGGGCTGAGAGTGCTGAGCACAGTCTAGAGCCTAATGCTGACTCACCCTTAGAAAGCCCCATGCTCACTCTCCTGTCTTCTAACACTTCTAACTTCTGATGATATATAGGAAGAGGGGAAAGAAAAGCTTTATGCCATTTGGTGCCCAGATATCTCCTGTTGGTGCCATCTAATGCTTAATGGAAGGCAGCCAGAGCTCAAGAAGAGGTCAGGATCAGCAGCTCTGTTCAGCCCACTCGGATCTGGATCTGGAGTGCAGGAGCTGTAGGTTTCAGGAATTATCCTGCATCTAACAGTGAAATGGCTTCTGGGACATGTTAATAAACTTAGGCATTTGGTTGACCCACTTTGAGGCTTTCTTGTATGCTTGCTTGCTTGTATTTACATGTGGTGGTGGGGTTGAGCAGCAGGGAGTGG